GTGATTAAGTAGAAGTAGTAGTTGTTTCATTCATGGAACAGGCGAAAGAACTTAGCCATAGTGCCAAACTTAAGTATATTATATTACTTATTTTAGTAATTAAATTGGCCAAGCACGATCTTTTATCATGTTTTCTTTTCTGTTTTTTAATATTTTTAAAAGGCTGACAGCCAGATCTTTAATATTATTTTATTTTCAAGCACCAAAATCTTCATTTAAATTTCTTGGTCTTGTTCAGGGTTAATTATTTACATATCTGGGAAACGTTTAATAGTTGTTTAATTGAATAAATAATGTGCGTAAAAATATAAAACTCGTATACGGTTATAATCACAAAAAGTGACGAATTTTTTAATAATATTATTTTATTTTGTCAATGAATGTCAGTGCTTAAAAAAAGAAAAAGTAATGCAAAATAAAGCGGAACGAAGAAGAGCTAAGTCACAAATTAGTGTTTATTGGGCATGATCGATATCGCTACATAGTATAAAACAAAGTCGCTTTCTCTGTCCCTATGTATGGTTAAATCTATAAAACTTAAATAGGGTGATTCAAAAGGAAGGTTATTATGTATAATACAAGATCACGCAGGCGAATGTATAATACATGACCACGCGGGCGCAACCGCTGGCGGAAAACTTGTTTTAATTTAAATGGTTAATATAATGTTATAAAGAAACAGATCGACTACTACTGGCAATACTGTCTATTCTATGTTTTGAAGATTCTTATAACGTACATAATAAAGAATGTTACATTTACACGAGATACGTGCGAAAAACATAACCCTTCTTTTGCAGTAAAAAACAGACTTTTATTTGTATGCTATTTACTGAGCTTTTCAATTAAACTCAAAGATTTAAAAAAAAATGACAGATTAGGTGAACCCCTCCAGATAATCGTCAGATTATAATTAGCGATAAGTCGTCATCTGTCTTTTAAATCACGTAACGAAACCGCTATCGGATCGCCAATCACTGATATCAAAACTATCAATTTTTCATAACTAGTTTTTTCACAACGCTATAAAATTAAAGTGAATTTTACTCTTATTTAAATGCGATAAAGCTCAATTTTGGATTGGTTACATGATCACTCCGAAAGCGAAACTGCGCGGAAAGTAAGAACATATACTTATTTCATTCGCACGTATACTGACATCCTGTTGTTGTTTCATTCACACATGACAGGTTGCATTGATTGCGATCCGTATTATTTAAACGGTCTACATTACGCGTTACATTCTACATGGTTATTAAAATTGCATAACATGACCGTTAATGTAAAGTGTTGATCTTTTAAATATGCCTACGATCGATGCGAACTGTGATCGCCGGTTCTTGGTAATCATAATCACGGATATTGTGGAGCGAGTCGCCCAAACATCAACCTTAAGCGATTTGCTAGAGTGAATTCAGCTTTACTTTGTGGAACATAGCGTTGTCGAAAATAGATATTGAACCACTGAATCACGAGTAGTGATGTACATCTGGGAATATTGCCACTGCCGGAAATTTTCCACTCCCAATATGCCCGGAAAATTTCCGGGCACATTGGGAATATTGCCGAAAGTTCCCAGGACTTTTTGTCGTATTATATAGATGAATAAGCATACTAAATCACTGCCTCGTTATGATTCTAACTTCAATACGTAACGTCTTCTACAATATCTGTATGTTAAAAACATCCTCAACTCGTCGTCGACCCGCAGCGGTGTCACCTCATAGAAATTAAATGAAATAAAACTTTATTACCTTTGTGCTTAGTTTTATTTGCCTGAATCTCTATGCTATGAGAGCGCTGCGCTCAACGACGAGTTCAACGTTTTGTAACAAAAATAATACTGCAGCTCCCGTTTATCGCTCCCGTTTATTACGAAATCGGACGTAAACTTATAAATGTAGCTTTCGTGGCGATAATTTTACATTAAAGAACGCAACCAAATTTGTGCATCATCTTGTAAACGCATTTAAACAATGCTCCGTCGACAAAAAAGAGGATATGGATAAAATTTTAAAAGAGAACACCAGAATCTTGCAATTTTACAAAAAATTCAAAATCACATATTCTAAAATCAGAATTTAAAAGACTCTGAGGATAAATCTATAAATATAACGCTCATATTTAAAACTACATAGATGGGGAAGTTATTTACATTGTTTGGATTTTTTTTAATGCTTATATTTCCGACTATGGTGATCACTGACATTCGGGAACTGGATAACTATAAAGAAAATATCTTAAATGAATCAAAATGGGCCACGATTAAAAATCATATCAGATTTTTTACGCCAATTGTGCATTGGATCTCTAAGCTTGAGGGAGATTACTGAACGATATATTTAGTTTATGGAGCGTTATTAGATATCGAGGAGCTTTTAAATAGCAGAAACGCAATGGATGTATTAGAAGATAATTTACCATAACTCCGAGGCAAGTTTCTTGCACGAAAACAGAATGCTTTGAATAATTTGCATTTTGCCGCTGTTTGATACAAAATCTCGTGGTTCCAATTTAGAGAAGAAGATTATTTAGAAGGCTGTAATGCTATTATGAATTTTGCCACTACTAACGATGAATCTGGTAATTGATAAAGGAACTATCAGAATATAAATGCCGAAATAGGGTATATGCAAAAAATATTATTTGGCAAGCTGCTAATACAATCGATCTAAAATAGTGGTGGATGACTTTTTTCGAAAATACATTATTGGATCAAATAGCAATTAAAATTTTACCAGAACCTGCTACGTCAGCTTCGGTTGAGAGGTCATTTTCCACATTCTCGCATATTCATACTCGTAAAAGATACAAAGTAACAACAGAAAGAACAGGAAAAAGTAATTTTGACTAGTATTTAAGTAAATAACAATTTAAATCAAAGGAAAATTATTGATGTTTTATGATTTCATTAGACCACTGTATAAATGTATATATTACTTACTGTGTTCCTGCAACATCGCCCGTTGAAATTATAGCCTATGTCACCCACATACGGTGTAGCTTCTCGTAGGTGAAAGAATTTTAAAGCTCGAATCAGAATGTGCAAAGATAACCCCCCCCCCCCCTCGCCCTTACAAACAAACTTAGAGACTTTACATCTTTACAATATTAGTATATAGGTACCTAGTATATATTAATTATGCATAAAAAACATTAATAAAAAGTTGGTTTGTTTAATTTAATTTTATAATTTGTTTATTTTAATTTTAGTTATTATTTTCATATGTTGATATTGAAAAATAATTAATTTTCTTTTAAACTGTTTTAATTATCTACTTTTGATATTAATACGTATTTTTATATATATACTTTGCCTTTAATAGCGTAAGATATTCTACACTAAACAGATACCCATCGTTAAGATGTTTCTTGGGAACTTTGCCGGCAATAAACTGGAAATATTACTGGGAATTTTGCCGGGAACATTGCCAGTATCCTGGGAATATTCGTTATTATGATATAAAAATGTCAACCTTCGTATCCAGTACACAGGTAACCATAAAGTAATTCAAATTCAAACGAAATATTTTGAAAACTCGATAAATTTATCCAATAATCCCAGTAAATTCCCACTTTGGGAGCGTTGCCGGCAATGCTTCCAACAAAATTTCCAGTCCTTGGGAGTGTGCCCGGGCACGGTACATCACTAATCACGAGTGATCGCGGTTCAGGCAAATCAATAATTGATCTATCGCGAATAAAGTCCGCCGCTAATTAAAATACCTTTCAACCTTTTATGAATTCCTTCCTAAAATGACATGACGTTTTAAAATAATGAACTTCTCCCTACAATAATATCATGGACGCCCCAGACTGACGGTCGCCCAGTAGCGCTACAGGTTTATCTTAATTATCTCTATAAATGGAGCCAATTAAAAAAAATATATAAACCTTTTCTTCTATTAATTATGACTTACGGCACGTCCCAAATTAATAAAAAGGGAATCAAATGATGACTTAAAAAGCTTTTTGGAATTCATTATAAGCTGTGCTGTGGCGCTGCCGGACTGACGTCAACCAACGCTACAAAGACTATTTGACTCTATATCCCTTTGTTTAATCAAAGCTATATCCTAACAAATTGATAAAGACTGACATAAAATCGAAGAGGGCAGCACTGCCAGCCTGACGTATACATCATACATAATCAAAATTATGTAACTGTCCGCCATTTGTCTATTTCACTAGGCAATTAAGATAAAATAAATAAACTGTGATTCCCCCCCTAAAGCCCAAAAAAATAACAATAATTAGGACGTACACTATATTATTAAGAATTTATATATTAAAACATAAAAAACTTGAGATATTTTTAGTAGGTATATCTAACTGGACACAGACCAACTTTGTTAAATTAAATTATTAAATGCAGTCTCAATACTCAACAAAGTTTATGAATACTTGATCTAAAAATATAAACAAAATTTATTTAAATCAAAAGATTTCATAACACTTTAGCAATCAGTTTATATTATTTATAAGTCAAATTACGAATTGTGATTTGTAAAAAAGGAATTTTTGACTGGCACGTTTTTAAAAAACTACATCCAGATCATAAGGCATGGAATTATAAAATAACTAATGTTGACTTACTGATTAAAAGTTTACAAAAAAATAATTTACCAACTTAAAGAGTAGTATCATATGTGTAGGTAAGTTATTTGAAAAACCCAAGTTTTAACTGTTATAATTCCATGAACATGTACATATAAAATAACTTTGTGTTTATCTAAGTGTTAGTAATCACATCAAAATGGTTACAATACTTGCTACAAAGAAACTTTAAAATCCTCAATCATTCTGTTGATATCTGAAATTAGGCTTTTTATATGACATATAAAATGCACTTATAATTTGACTAAAATTATATTAGTAAATTTAATGTGTACAATAAGCTGTATTCCTATAATAAAAACAAAAATGTGTATTAAAACATAATTGTTCTGAAGTTTCAGGAATGAAAATTGTATAAAAGCACAACATACATAAAACATACATAGTACATGCTTTATGAATTTTAAATAATACATGAAACATTACATAGTATGTATGTACTAAGAAGATTTGTACCTTTTGGTATGTGACAGTCACATCAATAATTAAAAATGTTATAAAACAATACTCTAATCACATTGGTCTATGAACGTAGAAGTCAATACAATTTTTCATCAACTTTTGTCATTATATATATTATAATCTAATTTTTGGAACAATTTTTATAGGAGATCCAGTCACTGGTTTCTTAGGGCTAAGTTTGTTAGGTGATCTCATCACCACGTCTACAGCATGTCTCAATATTTGGTGTTCACTCTTCTTATACTCTTCTGTTATTTGGGACAGGTCAAGATCTGCATCCAAAACTAATACCTAGAAATAAAAATAATATGAAATTAAATTGATACAAGTTATATACAAGGTTTATTATAATTTTATGGTGACTGCCATTGTTATACTTTGGAAAAGATTAACATTGGTGAATTTGTAGTGGTCTTAAACAATAATTCATTTTATTGTGAATAAAATAATAATTTACTTATTAGATAGGATTATAAAGACAATAACAGTAACGTTTACCGGTGCAGGGCATTCCCCTAGTGTTCTGTGTACCAGCCAGTCTTCATGTAACTTATGTAAACTTTCTAAATATGACAGTGGCACACACTGCTCCTCAGATCGAGCTCTTTTCTTTATTCTTTCATAAGCAACAGCTGGAGTTGCTTTTAAATAAACTGGAAAATTGAAAAGTCCCATATTGCATATATTTCAAACAAACAACCATAAAATGATTTTTTGTAGTACAGTCACCAATAGATAGGGTTATACAAGAATGTAAAGTTAATCGAATTTATTCTATTACTTGATACACTGAAATGAATTGCAAATTGTGTTATTTTATAGTACCCTTGATGTGCTACTATATGCAAACCAGATAATGAAAAAAACAGTAAGCTGAAAAATAATGCCATATGGCATGACAATGTGTACTGTGTAATTCGTACAATGCTATGTGTGCGGATTGTTATTACGTATCAGCAGCCAGACCGATGAACATTCAATACAATCACAAACCTGCAATTGTACTGAATAATTTTATTCTTATTTCATAACCAATCAACTTTTTACTAATAGACTAAATGAGTCTAAATCTTTTTACATGTAAGTTGTTTTTTATATCCAATGATTAATTTTCATAGTTTTTTTACTCCATTTAATTTTATTTTTTCTTTATACTTAATATATACATTTTTAATTACAGTTAATAATTACTAACTGTACTTTTTTATTTGAGCTAAAAATGACATTAATCCTTGCCTCAATGGGAGCGCCCGATAGTATTATATAAAGCAGCTGATATTACACTACAATATGTCAATGTCATGTTCGTTGCCATGCCATGATCATTGTCGTGTGCCATGCTTAATTTTATCAGGTAATACATTCTGTTACAGTATGTGGTCGTGTCATATTATGCATTACTCAGAATATAGTAATTAACTACCAGGAAGTGACTGCGTAAATGGGATACAATTTTAATAATTTAAAAATAACCAGAAACTTGAACTAGACTGCTTTAAGATCAACCAAATCCAAGTAACCTAATTTCTAATATATATATCAAATTCAAAGTTTACACAACAAAAATTAAACAAACCTATCAGATCAGCGGCAATGGGGATATTGTGGTGAATGAATCTAAACCATTCATCTAATACAGCAAACTGTGCAGGGTGAAGTGTTCCATTTCTCATCATTTGTTCTACAAAACAATATCTGGCACTGTACAACGATCGCTCCATCAATTTCACAGGCGTAGGCGTAAGTTTACAGTGCATGTCTAACATAGTCAAAGAAACATAGGATTGAAAGGCCATTGCCCACTTTGTAGGGTCTTTATACATTAAATCCTGAAAAAGATTGTATGATGAATTCATAGATTTTAACCATTATTTCAATGACAACATATTTACAATTTTGATCTAAACAAGAAGATATATTACCAACAAATTCCATCCATTGAGATTACGCCACTCTTCCACTGGTTCTGTCAATAGAGTTATGTCTTCAAATTGGCAAAAATGTTCTAAAAATGTTGTCTTTCCACTTCCTATGTTGCCTTCGACGAACACAGTGAATGGGCGCTTACTAACAGCGTTCATTTTATTCAATTTTGGAACTGTAAAAACAAAAACACTCAATAGAGGGAAAGCTAGAAAGGATGACAACCAATCTTGCACTGATTCCCGCCAAAAACGCTAAAATAAAGCGGGAGAATGAACTGTCAATGTCTCATATTTTATGAGAATTTAATTACCTTTAAGGGTTATAGACATCAACCGACGCATAAACATCGTCTATAATGAATTCGTAAAGTCTTTATAAATTTCTAACATATTTTTGAATATTATTAAAACCTAAAGTTTACTATCTTTCAGTCATGTTTTGTTTTCCGCACATGTCATTACATGTCATGTCCAATCGCAAGATGTCGTCCAGAGAGCAAATAACCTCTTGTCCATTCCGATTAATATTTAATTCTCTTTGAATCCGATCTTTTCACTTTTATTGCACAAGACTGGCATTTGGCGCAACAAAACAAACCAACACAAGTAGATTTTTATGAACCAGATTTTAAACTATTATGTTGATTTTTGCCATCCAGCCCCCATAATCTGTGGCTCTGAAAACTTCTGAGATCTGAGGTAGTGGTAGTTAAATTAGCGCCCAGCGTGTAACACTGCTAAGAAGGTATACGCGAAGGCGCTAAGAATTTCACGCGCTAACACTATTCACGCGTGAAATTCCAAAACGATTCAACGACGCTACTAAAACTAAGACGTTTGTCTTAGTTTTTTCGTTTTTCACTTTATTACTCATTCAACTCCCGCCAAGAAAGTACAAAAAAATGCTCCGCAAAAACAAAGAAAAACAGCAGATAAAATACGATTCTCTTTCACAAATACACATATTACGAAAAAATATTAAGTTTCACACTTAAGTCATTAACATTTTTGGCAATAAATACAAAATTAAAGCTAACTTAAAAAATAAAAATATTTAATTTTCACAAATAAAATTTCGACATTTTGTCGTCAGTGTTGCCACTGCTATTCACTTTCAATTTTCCCCACTATATGGGAGCCTTTTCATTTTATTGTAAATCATAAATAAATATAAATATCTTTTTTTAATTAATTATATGGCTCAGATTTAGTATAGGCAACTGTGCAAATTGTGTTGATATTTTTTCATACACAGAAGCTAAAGTGGTTTAATTTATAAAAGTTAATTTAATTTTTTCAAGGCGTGGAATTCGTTAGTTGTCGAGATACAACTTTTGAAAATACGTAAAATTGAACCTTTGACCTTTTGTTAACTTTAACAAATGTTTTTCTCTTAAACACTGACTTTATCGAAAAACAAAGGGATTTATATGCACAGAGCCTACTTTCGTGATTGTTTTCTTTTCAAAGTTTTTTCAAATAAATTTTCAAAGTTACAGTATTTTTCTAATTTATTTTATATCTACATTACTTGTTCAATCATTCATTTATCATAATGGATGAATTTTCGAGAGCCAGCAATACAATATCAATTACCCATTTTTCCGTTCATTCTGTCGTTCGCACATATTCTGTCTTTGTTTAATTTAAGGTTTAATCATGGACATGAGAGAGACAAATATAATAAACCTATTTATATTGTATAGTATAAATATTATTTGCAAAGCTACGTCCTGATTTCGGAAAAGTGCTACGCTTTTTGGCGCGTCTGTTGTATGGAATTGCTTCTCTAGTTATTAAACTCGCACTTTTTCGAAATCAGGACGTAGCTTTGCAAATAATATTTAAACTATATAATATAAATAGATTTATTATATTTGTCTCCCTCATATCTACGATTAAACTTTAAATTAAACAAAGACAGAATATGTGCGAACGACAGAATGAACGGAAAAATGGGTAATTGATATTGCATTGCCAGCTGTCGAAAATTTCACCCATTGTGATGAATGAATGAATGAACGAGTAGTGTAGATATATGTATAAAATCAATTAGTAAAATACTGTAACTTTGAAAAATTTATTTGCATAAACTTTGAAAAAAAAAAAACAATTACGAAATTAGGCTCTGTGCATATATATCCCTTTGTTTTTCGATAAAGTTAGCGGTTACGACAAAAACATTTGTTAAAGTTCATAAATCATCAAACAAACAATTTTACGTAAAAGTTGTATCTCGACAACTAACGAATTATTCCACGCATTGAAAAAATTAAACCACATTAGCATCTGTGTGCATGAATAAAAAAATTATCAACAGAATTAGCGCAGTTGCCTATACTTAAGCTGAGCTATATAATTAATTATAAAAAGATATTTAGATAAATTATAGCCACGTTAATTAAAAAGAAAAGGTTCCCATATACTTGGGAAAATTGAAAGTGAATAGCAGTGGCAACACTGACGACAAAATGTCGAAATTTTATTTGAAAAAAATTAAATGTTTTTATTTTATAACCTAGCTTTAATTTTGTATTTATTGCCAAAAATGTTAATGACTTAAGTGTAAAACTTAATATTATTTCGTATTATGTGTATTTGTGAAAGAGAATCGAATTTTATCTACTGTTTTTCTTTGTTTTTACGGAGCATTTTTTTGTACTTTCTTGGCGGGAGTTGAATGAGTAATGAAGTGCAAAATGAAAAAACTAAGACAAACGTCTTAGTTTTAGTAGCTTCAGATTTTTGGTATGTATTGCGTATCTAGACATATTAATATCCTTTTTTTGCACTATAATTATATTCAAGACGAAAATGTTGAAAAATATTAACATAGACATTATTTTAAAGCAATAATGATCGTAATAAAATATATTTAAGCCTTATTGAATCAAACGCATATTCCCTATTGCTCACTTTTTCCGGTGATTAACTTAAGATTGTCAGTTAGGTTGCGAATATGCCTGCTGATTAAGTTCAACATCTTCGCATAACGAAAGAAACGAAAATCGTAAAGATCGATTGTTTATAAGATTGTTTATTTTTCCCATAGAAAACTACGGCATCATCTTAATAATATAATTACTATCAGTTAATATCAAAGATATTTTTTGATATATAATGAGTTAATAAGTAATCACCTATCCATTTGCTGGATCATCTTAAGTCTAAGCATTCTTATCTGTTATATAATCGGATACCTTATAATTTAATAGTAGTTTTAACTGCATGATATCCAATTGTTGTATTTTGCTTGGGACCTTATTGTAGAAGGGCATACAAAGACCCCTGAATGAGTTACAACTTTTTGCAGTCTAGTGACAGGTACCGTTAATTTATTTTTATATCTTGTATTAAAATTGTGTACATCACTTTTTATAAAAAAACAAACGTAATTTTTTTTTACAAATGTACATTAAGTTTAGCGTTGTGTAACTCACTCTTTTTTGATAAGGATGAGTGAGTACCTCATTTCACCTCGTGAGGGGCTCACGAGTTACCCCTCATTTGAGGTGAGAATAGATAATGTTACAGCAGTGAATGAGTACGTAGCGAGGTGCGCGCAACGGTGCCGTTTGTTACAAAATGAGGGAGGGACTCGGTAATGCTGAACAAAACATATATTTTCTTTAAAACTTAAAATTTATCAGAATGACCACAACACGCAACTTCTTTTTAATTGTGTCAAATGTTCCATTTTTAAAATCGATTAATTATTTATATTTCGAATCATATAAATATATTTCTAAATAAAACCGATTTTATTAACTTTGGTTTTTACTTGTTCGTGCATTTTTTAAAACAATTAATTTACCTCGACGTTTTGGCTACGTTACAGCAGCCGTGGTCACGAGGAGACTGGAGAACTGGCGGGTGTCGTCTTCTGATTTTAGTTGAGGGTAATCCGGTAATAATGTTTTTAACTGATTTTCAGATGTACCCTCCACTTGATTTTATTATACGTAAAGGTGGCGACACACTGCACTTACGGTATCCGAGAATATTGTTCGTGGTTGTTTGCGATCGCGACACTTATACATTTTTATAACCGGATTCCACGTTGGTGAGAGTTTATATCCACTTTCCCGATTGAAATTGTTGTGTTTTTTGATTTCAACCGCTTCACGAACAATCCTTGGATAGTAATGTCGTTCAGTGGAAAGGACATGAGGTGTATGTAACTCGATCCAGTGGTTTGATCCAGATGATAATAAGTGGTCTGCAATCGCGGACTTCTCCACTTGACGATTTTTGACCGCTGCTATGTGTTCTCTTACACGTTCGGCGATAGTCCGCTTCGTTTGTCCGATATATGAACTACCGCAGCTGCAGTCAATTTTATAAACGCCAGGTTTTTGGTAAGGAATACTATCCTTTGGTGATCGCAATTGGTGTGACATTTTTGTGGGCACTACAACATCCTTTGTGAAGGACTCGCGTCATTTTGTACAGATCCTTGATGATACAAAACTGGATCCGGATGACGTAATGGTGAGTTTTGATGTTGAGTCGCTGTTCACCAAAGTTCCAGTTAAGGACTGTCTAGAGGTTGTTAGGATGAAACTTAGACAAAACGATATACCGGAAGGGTACATGGTTCTATTACGGAACTGTTTAGATGGCAGCTATCTCCTATATCGCGGCAAACATTACCTTCAAATTGATGGTGTCGCCATGGGTAGCCCCGTAGCGCCACTTTTGGCCAATATATGGATGGAACATGTCGAGTCATTGATAGATTACCAGTCACATGGGATCCGTATGTGGAAACGGTATGTAGACGATGTGTTCTGTATCCTGAAGGGCGACAAACCGGAGATTGAGCAGTTCCTTACACACGTCAATAATATCCATCCGAATCTCAAGTTCACCTATGAGTTAGAGAGTGACAAAACCTTACCCTTTCTGGACGTTAAAGTCATGGCGCAAGCTGATGGGTCCCTGAAACACACTGTCTACAGGAAACCAACACACACAGACAAGTACCTCCACGCTTCATCTCATCATCATCCTCAACACCTACGTTCTGTGGAGACAACTCTTATTAACAGGGCTAACGCATTATGTAATACTGACTTCTTAGCAGATGAGTTGTCCCATGTACAGGACGTGCTAAGGAAAAATGGATACAGCGCAAGGAGGTCATACCCTATCCGAAGGTGTAAGGAAAGACTACCTAAGGTTCCCAGGCAACGGGCATTTTTAGGCTATGTTAAGGGGGTAACGGACAAAATTGGTTCCATTTTGAGGAAAAATTTTTCTATAGACACCATTTTTACTCCTTTATCAAAAATGTCACACCAATTGCGATCACCAAAGGATAGTATTCCTTACCAAAAACCTGGCGTTTATAAAATTGACTGCAGCTGCGGTAGTTCATATATCGGACAAACGAAGCGGACTATCGCCGAACGTGTAAGAGAACACATAGCAGCGGTCAAAAATCGTCAAGTGGAGAAGTCCGCGATTGCAGAGCACTTATTATCATCTGGATCAAACCACTGGATCGAGT